TCACAAGGCAAAAAAGGGGAAGGGCAAAGGAGGGGTGAGGGGGAGGAGGGGAATTTAAAAAAAAGGGGGGAGGATGGGATAGGGAGGGGAAATGGGGGGTAATTAGGTTCGTCTGGGAAGAAACCGACAGGGCAAATTTTCCCAACCAAGACCCCTTCACCACGCCAAGGACCCCCCCTAGGGGGGATTTGGATACTTTTGTGCGTAGGGGCTAGCAGCATGTTAATGGGGGTTATGTGTCTCGGGGGGTGGTCGTAATAAAATTCGTGTTTGAACTCTTTTTCTCCGACCACCGGGGAGTTTTTTGGGAGCCGACTGACGGGGGGTCTCCCGCATCGTTTTAAGGGATGCGGGAAACTGAATAAGGGGATGTACAAAGTGGGGTGATAGGGAACTTTTCGAGATTCTGGCGTCTATGGGAGTAGACTCTTGGGAGGGAGGGATTTAGTACACAGGGGGATGGGGTTTTGGGGAACCCTCGAATTAAGGATTTGTGAATCGGTTAAGGGGGCCCACTCGCAGGAGATGGGTTTAAAGAGGTCCTGGGAGGGCATCTACGACAATTTTATGACGGGAGGGCTCGGGGGTTTCCCCATGATGAGATCGATGCTTTTAAGAACAAACCCCAAGAAGAAAAATCGGGTTTTCGAGGGACGCGCATTTCGAGTGGGTGGAGGGGCTTTTTGGGGTACAACCCTCTGCTTGCGTCTTACAAAGTCAACAAAGGCAAAAAACGACTAAAATTGTGATTAGTGGTGCAGGATGAATTTAGGGTATGTGAGGGACAGGTCCTTAACAACAACTGGGGGGATAATTTTTTATTCAAAACTGGAGAAAAGATCCAATGCAAAGAAAAGACGTGATGAGCATGCAACAGGTTTTGGGGAGAGGCGTACAATGGGGTTAAATGATTATACGCCTTCTTATGGGGGGCCTTTTTGAGGCAGAGGTGTGGGGGGTACACAAGGAATGAGTAGGGGAAAGGGGCCCCGGGCTTTGAGGGCACCCCTTGTGAATTTTTACAAACATTGGGAGGAAATAGGACTTTTAGGGTTGTTTACTCAAGGGATAAAGGAGGGGGGTGTTAGGTCTGCTCGGGGGGGGTAGGGGCGGGTGTTGCTCTTATTTAGGAAAGTGATGTGCCTTTAGAAAATAAGACTACCGTCCCATACGTGATGTGAGTGACTATAAACTATGCAAAATTTGATGAAAAATTAAGAAAGTTTTTGGATAAGGTAATCCAAAAGAGTCAGTTTGGTGTGCCAGGTAGGTCAATTATGGGGTCAGGGGAAATACAGGGATTTGTGGGAAGCGGGTGAGGGTGGGGGTGGTGTTTTGGGCTTTAGACTGGCGACCTTTTGATATTTGGGGAAAAGGTTCTGGGGAAAAATTTAAATTTTGGCAGGGTTTTGGAAACGAGATCTGTGGGCCCGTTGTTGTACAATGGAGGGGGTTTTTGAAGTACAAATTAATGGAATTTTAGGCGTTTTTGTCCATAGGCGGGGCTTCGTCGGGATGCCCCATGTCTAAAATTTTTTTTGATGTATGCAGGCCCCTTTTTAGGGCTGTTTTTGGGGGGGGAATAGAGAACTTTTGGGGTCCGAGTAGGGTCGACCAAACCCTTGGGGGTTTTTGATACTACTGTGTTATTACGTTCACGGGAGAAATTTGGATTTTTTTTGGGGAATTTGTAGACATATTTGGAAAAGGCTACGGGATTTTTTTAATAGAAAAAACAAAAAATTATGGAGTTGGGGGGGGGGCCGGATGCAGGGGGGGGACTGTGGTTGATCGACACATATGTGGTATTCATTATATCGGGAGGTTGATCAATGATGGCGTGCAATTCGGGGGGGGTTGACATAGCGTTTTGGGACGCTTAAATAGTTTACGGCCGCATTTTTAAACCCCTCTCAGGGCGGGTCTTTTAATGTCCGCTTTATAGAAAAGTAGGCCCTTTTGCTCCCCGTATCTGTTGCGGGGGGACGTCAAACGTCTTTTGCATAAAAATTTCTTTTTGTGGGTTCTGGATGCGAGGGGCTCAAAAGAGCGATGGGGGAGACCCCACTGCATCGGGGAGGTTGGGTTCATTCCTTAGGGCCGTGTCATGCATTTTACTGAAGCGTCGTTTTCTCCTACTGGGTGGGATGCATGGCGGTTAAAGCAAATTTTTATCACGACCTGCGCAGGGGGAGGGGGAGGAATTTAAATTTTGGTGCGACGCGGTTTTGGGGGTTTATTGAACAGGGGGACGGCCTGTGTAAAATTATGTCCTTAAAAGGGGGGTAGAGAGGTAGTGGTGCGAGTTTTGGGAATTACCCATGTAGCGTGGGGGATATATGGAGGCGAGCCAACAGTTGCGTCTGCCCGCTAAATACGGGAAGGGTTTTTTAAATTTTTTCATGGAATCTTGCCCTCTGGGGGGTTTAAATAGGCGTTTGGGGGAAGACTGGGTTGTCCGGGATGCGGGTGGAGGAATCTGCTTTTTTTGTGTTTTCTGCGAGACTTTATGATGGTACGAGAGTGGTTCATAGGGTTTTGCGTTGGTAGGGGGGGGGGGGGGGGGGTTTGTCGTACTCGGGGTTGAGTTTTTTATGTAGTGGGTTTTACTTCGTGTCAAAGTGCGGTGTCGTATGTTGTTGGCCCATTACATTTTCGTGTCATGGGCTATGAGGGACGTTTTATGGGAACGTAGAATTAGGGTTTAGCAGGGACGATTTATAATACAAAAGTCGAAATGGTTGGTATTGAGGGGAGATGGGAGAGAGCTTCCCGCCCAATAACCTTTGGGGTTACGAATTTGAGATGGTTTTTGGGGGGTTTTTTTGGGTAATCTAACGGTCGGCAGCTGTGTCTGTTTTCAATGCGTGAATTTTTGTGTTCTCAGAGTTTGTGCGTCTCCTATGTAAATGTGATGACAAAATACTTAGTGCTTTTATATCAACTTTTTGGAATGTTTCGTCTTTTAGCCCAATTACAAGTCAATGTGTTTTTTGTATATGGTGTGCTCCTAGCCAGTTGAAAAGTTTTCTTATTTCCGTTTTTCTTTATGCCGGGCCCTGTGCTTTTCAATAATTAAAGTAAAATGCAAGTTTGTTTTTCCTGTAAGCTGTGATGGAGCTTTAACTATAGTGGAGGGATATTTTCAATGTGTGCATCTGTCTGTATAATTCACTTTTACTCTGGCATTTTTGTTTTTTTTAAATTCAAATATCAGTGTATTTTCGTTTTGTTATATTAAATATTTTTTTATTGTGAAATGGTAGGCATCCCGACCACCTTTGAACGGTGGCCTAAATTTTTAGTCCATGATAAAACCCCTGAGTCGCCCAAAATTAAGATTGTTGTGCACTATAAGGCACCCGGTTCTTAGTTAAGTCTTGGATACGTTGTGTGTTGGCGGCGGAAGCCAGCCTAGTAATAGCCAGTGAAGTATCCGTTTTAAATACGTGATTGCTTGTTATGTGTGTAATTCTGTGTGCTTTTTTTGTCATTGTTTATTGTATAGTGTTTTTTTTTCCTGTGTTTCGACTGATTTTTTTAAGAAACTAGCTGTGCCCGGTATCTCGTTGTCATTTATTTTTTTGCATCCTAATTTTTTTTTGTACCCCAGTTTCAAATAAAAAAAAAAATTTTATTGTATAGGGGTAATTTGGGCAGAGCATGTACTTTTTTTTACTGAGATTTGGGGTGGTCATTTCTCTGATTAATACTGTGAAGGTTGTCAACCTTTGTCAAATGTCAGTCAAGTAGTTTTTAATATACAAAAGGAAAGGTTTATAATTTACATTTTATATTTTTATATGTTTTAGTTTATATTTAGTGATGTTGTATGAAAATTTTTGGTGAATGTATATGGGTAACCTTTATGCCATTTCAATGTTTGTTTAAAACTTGTTCGTTATTTGTGTGGGTTTAGGATCCTACGTACCCATTTTTTATCTTTATTTTTAAGCTGTAAAGTTTTTTTAAATAAAATATATAAAAATGTAATGTGTTTGGGATGTTTAGTTTCTTTGTATATATTATATACTAAATTCATCATTTATTGTCTTGTATGCAATGTTGCAAATGTTTTTGGGATGTGGAGACTGCGTTTTTAAAATCTTCGCATATATGTACATAAAATGCTAATATACAATAGAATTGCGACTGCAGTGCATTAGTTTACAAAGTTATGTATATAAAGTTTTTATACACTGAATAAGAATTTCAGGTTGGATTGTAGCCATTTTCTGTTTAAGGTATGTTTAGGTAGAGGTTGTCAATGTTTAACATGCATGTATAACTTGCTAAAAAAAAAAAAAAAAAAAAAAAATCTAAATTAAACAATTTAAGACCTGGGCCAAGTAAAACTGTTAAGTAGTTTTATTTTATTAAGTTACAGCAAGAACGAAGGTATACTAGTTTGTAACATTCTACTCTGCACAATTGTTACTAATGAAATCACATTTCCTAGTAGGAAAAGCACAGAATGTGGATTGATTTTATAGTCAAGACTAAAAATTTAGTGTCCACAATTTATAGGTGTTAAGATTAAGACTAAAAAATGCATTAAACAATTTTTTTTTTTTAAACAATGGGAATTTAAAAATTTAAACCCATAGTAACGGGCAGTTGTAGAGGTGACAGTAGTAGTGACGATTTGGGTTATTGTAGTTATGATTTGTTGTAGCAAGTCCTGCGTCGTCACAACAGGAACCGTATGAATCTGATAAAAGTAAAAAAAGTGACTAAGGGATAATTATGCGAATAGTTGTCGAATCACAAGTACGAGGACAACACAATACTAGTACCTGATGTGTGACGTCAACATGAGTTATGGTCTGCCAGTATTTAATAGTGTCAGTGACGGTAACAAACTGGGTGAATATAGACACCATAGTGCTCACGGATTTGCTCCAACTGTAGCCGTTACAAACACTACCTGTAGGAAGATATCAAATTAAAAAGGAGTTTTATTTTGGAATGTTATGAAAACATAAGAACGGCAGGTTCTCACCCGGGGTTGAAATGACCCCGATTGTAGATGTACTGTTCGTGGTTCTTGAGGAATGAAATCCCAGTGTGTTGTGGTTTGTGTCACTGTTAGAGCGAGTAGAGTTTGATCCGTGATCCAGACGTCTGATGTAGTCGTTTCCCTTAATGTGTGAGTTATAGTCGTCTGGAAGGATAGAGATTAATGTAAGAAAATAAAAATTAAAGTAAAAAAAAGATAAATTTGTATTTAGTGGGTTGTATACCTGAACAGTGAGAGTAGAAGTAGGTTGTGTAGGAACAACGATGGCAGGGTGAACTTCGTAAGTACTGATGACTTGGCCCTTTACCTGGAAGAATAAAGTTTAAAGTTTAAACAGAACGGTAAGAAAAATTTAGGAAGGGATTAGGGCAGTGCTTAGAGGGTGTTCAGTTATGTGACCGTTTAACTTACTTAAAGGAAGGGGGGGGGGGAAGGTTTGTTATATAATATATAGAGGGAGGGACTAGAAAGTAAAGTTCAGATATTTGGAGAAAGATCTTTGAAAGTAATTGGGATTTAGTGTAAAAAGGAAGCCGGATAAAGGAAATTAAATATTTAGTCAACAAAAATTAAAAGATTACTTACTAGAGCAAGACACCCCATTATATGAAGTAACAAAGCAACAGCCATCTGTTAACAAGAATATTTAGGATTACGTTGGAATTTATAATGGAGGAATTATAGTAAAGTTTGAG